ACCGTTGCACTTGAAGGAAGTATTAGACCTCCAGGTTTTAGCCAGCGATCTCTTGCTGTGATCACACTTCCCAGCATACTCTATAATAGGCAAAAAAAAAAAAAAAAAAAAAAAAAGAGCAAGCATGGCAACAAAAGAAATGGAAATATATCATAAAGTTGCAAACCATAAAACAGCACAAGTATACGTATTCTGAGGTACAATCCTATATCCAATACTTCACTATACAATCATGAATACAGATACGTTAACAGCTACCTCATACAGAAGCATGTAGCCCATCCATTCTGAAATTATAACATCAACCTCCTCATCAATATTGACATCCTGCAGAACTATCATTTTTAGCAATAGATATTGTTGGCTTGTAATTTGTAATTCAGATCAATAATTTGGGAAAGCCAAACAAACTCGTCAATCTCTCTCTCTCTCTCTCTCTCACACGCGCGCACACACACACAAGGAAAGTCAACAAAATTGTCTTGGTTGTACAAGCATACCTCAACTCGCCCATGTAGTACGATGACAGTTTCAGATAGATTGTTTGCTTTCACAACTTCATTTGCCTGCTTACAAATGAATGAGATTAATCCAAATTACAAAGCCAATCCTAAAGCGTCACAATTAACATATTTCATCTTCATGAGAATGAACTTTTATTTTTCCGGATACATCATGCACAAAAGTTCAAGCTAAAGATACATATAGGTAACTTTGACTCAGGTACTTCCTCAATCAGAGTTTAAGGGTAATGAGACATTTTACATTCAAGCAAAGACACCGAGAAGATCAGAAATAAATGAATACAGAATCAAATCAGATGCAGATAAAGTAAAAAACATTACAACAAGAACTTACCTGCACTGCAATGTCACTTGCATCAACAGCATATACCTGGTAGGTTGCAACAAAACACATAAGAGAATGCTATACAGAATGTAAAACAATGCCAGGACGGGACACAACATAGAAGTGACTTAACCAAACTACAAACATTAAAATCAGGGGAAGACTGTCCAGTTTTATTCATCAGATATCACATTGAAGAGAACGAGCAAAAATGACTGTGACATATTTTGAATCAGTAGATGGAAGTAGTGATTTGACACTACCAAAACCCATAGTTAAATGAAATGCATACCATCCTTCGAAACAAAACGCTTTTCCCCATGTCAAAAGGAAAATTATTGCAACTAAACACATACAATTTGGTCAATATCTTATTTGCAAATTTATGAAATATTATTGAAAAAACAGCTTACACGTTTTGCACCAGCCTGAGCACAAAATATAGAAAGAATGCCTGTGCCGCAGCCAACATCCACTACAACCTGCAAGCATCATTCAATCAAGAATATAAATAAGCAATTCACTGCAGAAAGAACCCTTCTCCACAGCGTCATGCAAACTGAGTAGAATAGGCATGTTCTGCGCATGTGAGAGTATGATTCCCCAGTATGTTAAGTTCATATGCATAAGGTATGTCTTATAAATATTGCAGAAGAGGTATTTACATCCACAGAAGGCAGTACCAAATAGAATACACATCATTTCTTAACTACAATTATAGCTGCATTACTTTGCCTGCTATAGAGCTCTGGTGCTGCATGATTGCCGCCCTATAAGATTCAGTGCGTACACGGTCCTGAATGATGACAGATTGCCACATCAGTCAATAATTTATATGACGATCAAATTGGAAAAGAAAACCCTCATCGCAATGTATTTTTTCCAACGACAAAGCATAAACAGTTACCTTGAAATTTAAACCTACAAAGACAGGGAACCTTAAACAAGATATACTGATGTTATGGGCCAAATCTTTATACATGGGTTCATATTCTGATATTCATATTCGCATTCGCACTTGAGATGCATTCTCTTAAAAGACGAAAAGCAATACGAGTATCAACAATGGAATATCGCATCAAAGTAATTTCGTATCCTCCGCTGCCACCGGAAAATCAAACAGCAGTAAAAACAAAATGAAACCCTAAACATTCTCGCAATCATGTGGAAAAGCAGATGGAAAATTAGCAAGAAAACAAAAACATATGTGCAGCAAAATGCACCTTGATCATTTCTTCGTGGATGCCGACGTGCGCGTAGGAGTGGAAATAGGCCATGTCGAAGTCCGTACAAGGCGCTCCCTGTTGTTGTTGCTGCTGCTTATTGTGCTCAGAAACCCTAAGCCCGCCAAAATTACCACCACTGCCGAAGTTGTCTCTGAGCTCACGTGACCTCGCACGTGTTCCCCGGCGAACTCTATCCCTCTGGCTCATCCCGTGTGGTTGTTGCTGCTGCTGCTGGTAGCCGTTACTGTAAGCCGGGGTCGAGTTCATAGTTTTGGTGACAACTCGCTTGCTCGCGCTCGCTCGCTCACTCCCAAACCCCAATATTTCGAGAGACCAAAATGAAAGCGCCGTTTGACGTTTTGCATTTTGTAAAATTGGTTTTTTTTTTTTTTTTTTTTTTTTTTCCTTGGTATTTCAAAAATCTCATTATTTGAAAATAAAAATTAAAATTTGTGAGGAGTGTATAATGAAATTTTTAGAGTGTCAATAACACTTTTCTTTTACTATTATCTTTTGTATTGAGGGCCTCTCTTTAAACCTGGCTAACTTCCAACCCTTTGGGTTAGAACATAAAATTTAGGTTCTAAACCCTCCTTGCTCTAATTTTTGGGCTAAAAATCAATTTTGGGTTCAAACTGATCTTTGGGGTAAATTTAACCAAAGAAACTAACAATGCAAATGACCTGGCCCACTTTAGCGAGTGGACACGCCAGAAAAAGAAGGAAGCCACAATCCACTTAGGCCATCTCCAATCAACCCGGCCAAAAGGTTATAAGGCTAAAAATAGCTCAAAATAACACGAAAATCATCTCCAACCGTGAGCCCCACTAGGCCAAAAATTGGAAAACAGGCCAGTCAGTCAGCCAACCAACCCCGATCTAGCCCAAAATTCAAAAGTAACGGTAACCTGACGGCAGCTAGCTGTTACCGTTGCATTTGATTTTTTTTTTTTTGGAGAAACTTTTTAAAAAAAAAATATTCTAATTTTTTTTTCCTATAAATACCTAAGTCATTCCTACACCATTTCTCACATAATTTTCACCATTCCATACTATCTTACCTCATTTTATTTCAGTTCTTCACATTCAATTCTCTTACCTCTTCCAATAATTTTTCCTTCACTCTTTTCAATATTTTTCAAATGGCCACATCTGCAATGAAAGGGAGGGCTTGGACTCGAAAAGAAGATTAAGCTCTTTGCAAGGCTTATATATGGGTCTCGAAAATAGTGTGAAGGGAGTTCTCAAACAAGTGAATGTGTTCGGACTCGTACGTCCAAAAAGTACTACAGGTTATACGGAGGCACCACTCCACCGATTTTCCGAAACCACGAGAGTTGTTATTCAAGATGGAAAAAAAACATCTTCATCCAAGTTTGAATAAATGGCATCAACTTAAATTGAAGTTGTTGTAGTCTTTGATATTTAAGTTGTAGTTTTAAATTTAAGTTGTAATTTTTAAATTTAAGTTGTTGTAGTTTTAAATTGAAGTTGTAGTCTTTAAATTTAAGTTGTAGTTTTTAAAATGAAGTAGTTGAATCTTTAAATTGAGGTTGTTGAATCTTTAAATTGAAGTTGTTGTAGTTTTCAATATGTCCGAAAACCTTATTTAATAAGATAGTTTAATTTAAGTAACTACATTAATTCAATAAAAATAATAATTTATGTTTGGCCTATGACCATTTGACCCCCTCGGTTGGAATTTTTTTTGTCGCAGGGCTATGTTTGGCCTATGACCCTTTGGCCCATTGGTTGGAGATGATATGAAATATGGTTTGACATTGTTAATTAAAGTATAATTTATTAGAGGTCTATAGTGCTAAAGGGAGCCCGCAGGCCCTCATTCGGTTGGAGATGGCCTTACACACCCCAAACGTGGAACGCGCTCACCTGCCTTTAGTGTCCGACAACGAGTGGCCCATTGTCAGGGCAGTTGTCGACCTCTTGCAGCCTACCAACGACTCTTTTTTAGATCGAACAGATGAGATTAATGGACCGTTAGTTGATCCAATGGTCCATATTCAAAATTTTTCTAAAAAAATATAATTTTAATATATTAAATCCAATGGTTGAGATCCAATATGCTCAAATATAACAGTAAAAAAAAGATCTAATAGCCCAAAATTAAATCTAACACCTAAAACAATTAAAAAATCATCTAAAGCAAAGTTTACCCATAAAAAATTATTTATCGGAATTTAAATACTTTTAAATTACAATGTTCATAAAATTCCGACTGTTGGATGTAAAAGTTTCCCTAAAATCCCGACGCCCATGCCATGTGGGCTTTGAATCTCATGTGTAGTAGGGGCACAAATGTATATATGTACAATTATTATAATTGTCTTGGAACAAAAAGTTGACTTAATCCAAATGAAAGGGTTAGGCTTTATCTTTTCCTTAAAGTTTGTATATTTGCTCGAAACCTATATCTCAATTGGTATTTATTACCTTCAAAAAAACAAAGTCAGTAATTGACAATTTTTTAATTTTCTTTAAAAAAAAAAAGATCGTAAATTATGTTTTACAAATTAAATACAAAATGCAATTGGCTAGTTAGTTAGAAATAAAAAGGTTGGCCTCGATGCAGGCCCGAAACTGTTACCGATATTGTTTTATTCGCCAAAAGTATCAAAAGAGCCCAACAGGCAGAGCACGCCGAATCGGCAGGTGGTGTTGGAATTGGATCACGTAGGAGGATTTTGAGTTGCCGTACCCACCAAGAATGGAAATTTGGAATGGAGTTGTTTATTTCTTTCTTTAAAAAAAAACTAAATACAAAAGGTTAAACCCCAAAGGCAGAAAGGCAGAAAGGCAGAAGGGCAGAGGAAAAGCAATGGCGGGTGTTGTGCCTCCAGGTCCAGGTACAGGTACAGGTACAAGTACTACCGCGGGAAGGGAGGCAGCCGTAGATAATTATGATTCGTTGTGTGGGTTTCCGGTAATTAGCTTTGTATAGGGTGAACCGTCCAGCCGTAGATAATTATTTGAAAATCCAAGCACGTGAATTGCTCTTTTTAAACCAAACCAAGTTTAAATTTCTAGTCCTGTGATGTTGAATTGCTCATAAACGTGTTATGCTGTCATAAAAATTCATCCTTGTTTTACTTTTAGTGAACTCAATCAATTCACTTCAGATTTTATACTTTTCTCCGGGTCCAGTTTTTATCAGATTATATGCTATATCGTATATGTCACTGAAACGATAGCAGCTGCAATGCACTTGATGGTCAAGAAAACTGCATATTGGCACTAGTTTTTTGACTTGCGTCTCTGAATGGCAGTGTCTTTACGACCGGAACTTTTTGAGGGAATGCGCTTTGATTTTTTCAAGGGACTCGACCACAAGTTCTCCCTTAGCTGCAGGTTTTTGTTTTCTACTCTCTCAACTTTTGTTTTTGCATTCCTTCCTCATCAGTCCTTTCTATTCTTCTGCTTATTTCGCTGACTGTTTTTGCATTGGGAGGGTATTAACAGACGGGAGACTTAATGCAAGAGTCAAGTATGACTTGACTAACAACCTCACTCTCAAGGCTAATGCTCAGGTGAATATTCGTCCTTGGATTAAACTGTTCCTTTTTTTCTTCTTGTGTAGAAAAAATGTGGAAGTACTGATGTAACCCATTTATTTCGACTCTTATTTACAGCTCGCAAATGAGCCGCACATGTCTAATGCCATGGTCAATTTGGACTACAAGGTCTGCTCACTCGTCTCATTTACTTTCATTGATTTAATTTGCCTTGTTTGACCTCATTACACATACAATTAAGGAGTTTCTTTGGCTACTTTTCTTGTTTCATTTTACATATCTGGTTTCACTTCCTAACCATCACTTATGCCCATGTGGAAGTACGGATGTGTAGGGGTTATAACTCTCCTAGTTCATGGTGTCTCTCATCTCATGTGTCGTATGGTGCTCCTAGTTCTGACATTCTCTCTTGGAACAGGGTTCAGACTGTTAAGGAATCTGCTCCATCAACTGCTGCTCCACCAGCTCCATCAACTGCTGCTCCACCAACTGCCGAATCTGCTCCATCAACTGCTGCTCCACCAACTGCACAATTGGAATACAACCTGGACAGCAGACCTCATGTGCTCTGATGTGTTGCAGCATGGGCACGTGGCTGCAATATTCCTGACAGCAGCATGGGCAGCAAGCATGTGTCTTTAGTTTAATATTCCTGACAGCAGCATGGGAGCAAGCATGTGTCTTTAGTTTATTACATGTGTGTCTGTGTAAGATGTATATAAAACATCTGACTATTATTACAATCAGTAATACAGAAAACATATCATTTGTATATGGTATCACGAGCCCAAAAACTCCAACGAGAAATTTTTTTTTCTGATCCATCTCTTCCCTGTCTTCATCCATGGCCACTGACGCCTCTACAACCAACCCTCTACCAGACCTCAACTCCACTACTCCCACCTTGATCACCATAAACGCTACAGCCCAATTACCTGTGAAACTCACACCCACTAATTACCCATCCTGGCGTGCTCAGTTCAACGCCCTTCTTTACGGCTACGATCTCATGGGTTATGTGGATGGTTCTCATCTCTGCCCATCAACCACTCAAACCGTGCTTCGCACCTTTTGGATTCGGCAAGATCAACTCCTCCTTCATGCGATTCTTGCTTCCGTCTCCCCGCATGTCATCTCCCTTATTGCCTCTGCCAAGACATCCAAGGAAGCTTGGGACAAGCTTCTTCATCTCTTTGCTAGCAAAACCCGTGCCCGTGTTCTTGGTCTCAAAGAACGCCTTACTCTCCTGCGTCGTGAGAACAAGCCTGTCTCTGAGTATCTACAAGAAGTCCGCATTATTGCAGACGAGCTTGCCATCATTGATGTTCCCCTCTCTGATGATGATCTCCTCCTCTACATTCTTAATGGTGTTGGCTCGGACTTCAAGGAAATTGCTGCGGTAGTTCGCTCCCGCGACACCTCAATCTCTTTTGAAAACCTGCATGACAAACTGGTTGAACATGAAGCTGCTCTTAAGCGTGATGATACCACTGTTCTACCCCCAGTGATCACTGCCAATGTCACTCAGACATCTCGCTTCCACAACTCAAATCGTGGCTTCCGCTCTCACAACTCCAACTCCAACCGTGGGTCATTTCTCTCTCGCAATCCTTCTCGTAGTTCCTTTGAGCACCCCCACACATCTTCCACTGCCACCAATTCTCGTGGTTCCTACAAGTCCATCCAACAATCCTTCACTGACAATGGTCGCCGCTCTACCAACATGAACAACACAGGTTATCGTGGTTTCTGTCAATGGTGTGGCACTCAAGGTCATAGTGCCAAACGCTGCCCTCAACTCCAATCTGGACCTTCCAGTACGCTCGTGGCCAATCCTACCACCCATGGCCGGTCCACCTCTTCTCCAACATGGTTGCTTGATTCTGGTGCCTCTCACCATGTTACCTCTAATGTCAACACTCTCTCTGGTGCAGCCATATATGATGGTCCTGATGAAATAATTATTGGTAATGGTTCAGGTTTGGGTATCACACATGTCGGTTCAACCACTTTACCCTCCTCATCCTCCCAATCTTTCAGCTTATCAAACGTTCTATGCGTTCCTTCTATGAAAAAAGACATTATTTCTATCTCTAAATTTAATAAACAAAATAATACCTCTATTGAACTTTTTCCTGATTTCTTTCATGTCAAGGATCTGAGCACGGGGGCGGTTCTTCTTCGAGGCCCGAATAAGGATGATGTGTATGAGTGGTCTCCTAAATCTAAATCATTTCATCAACCACAAGCTATGGTGGGTGTGGTGGTCTCTCCCAACCTCTGGCATCGTCGTCTTGGTCATCCCAGTCATCAAACTCTCCAACAAGTCCTTCGTATGTCTTCCATTAATGTGTCTTCCAAGTTGTTCAAGTCTGTTTGTCATTCATGTCTATGTAATAAAAGCCATCGTCTCCCGTTTGGAACTTCGTCTCTCACCAGTCATGGTGCATTAGACCTCGTTTATAGTGATGTTTGGGGCCCTGCTTCATACTCTTCAATTGATGGTTTTTCTTACTATGTTATCTTTGTTGATCATTTTACAAAATATATATGGCTCTACCCTCTCAAAAAGAAATCTGATGTGTTTTCCACTTTTGTCACCTTCAAAGCATTAGTTGAAAATTACTTCAAAAGAAAAATCACTAGGTTATACACTGATGGTGGGGGTGAATTTATCAAACTCCAACATTTTCTCTCATCCAATGGCATCACCCATCTTCTTACACCACCTCACACTCCTCAACACAATGGAGTCGCCGAACGACGACATCGTCATATTGTTGAAACTGGTCTCACACTTCTTCATCAAGCTTCTTTACCTCTCACCTATTGGTCTTATGCCTTTAAAACAGCTACCTATCTTATCAACCGTATGCCCACTCCGATTCTTAATAATATCTCCCCATTCACTCAACTGTTTGATGAACAACCCAACTACTCCCGTCTTCGTACATTTGGGTGCTTGTGTTTTCCTTGGTTACGTCCTTACAATTCCAATAAATTACTCCCTCGTTCCCGCCCATGCCTCTTCCTTGGTTACTCATCTAATCAAAGTGCATTTCAGTGTCTTGATCTTTCCTCCCACAAAATTTTTATCTCTCGGCATGTTCAATTCGATGAGTCCACTTTTCCTCTTGCTAACCTCCCTTCCTCCACTCCCCATGTCACGGTTGATAACTCTCACACTTGGGTCTCTTCTCTTTCTCCAGTTACTCATGTTCCTGTCCACTTACCCACCAGGCCTGTTGAGTCGGCTGTTTCTTCTTCGCTGCCACCACACGTCACATCATCATCATCATCAGAATCTGCCCCTGTCTCAGAACCGTCACCATCCGCTGCACCTATATTCACCTCACCACATTCTCCAACCCAAACTGCTCACGTCCAGCCACCTCCCCCCAACAACCCCGTTCGTACATACACTAGAAACCCTCATAGGACTATTGTCACCTTTCCATCCTCTAACCCAACCTCCCCTAACCCCCCCGTACCTCCTGTGCTCCCCAATCATTCCATGATCACCCGTGCCAAAGTCGGTATCCACAAACCCAATCCTCGGTATGCTATGACTGCTACTAAACATCCCATTCTCTCTTCAGTTGAACCGACATGTGTCTCTCAGGCTGTCAAGGATCCCCTTTGGCGACAAGCAATGTCCAATGAGTTCAATGCGTTAATTTGCAATGGTACATGGGAGCTCGTTCCTTCCCTTCCCTCTCAAAATCTTATTGGTTGTAAGTGGGTGTTTCGTATCAAACGGCATCCTGATGGCAATATTGACAGGTACAAGGCACGCTTAGTTGCCAAGGGTTTTCACCAACGTCCTGGTATTGATTTTTCAGATACTTTCAGTCCGGTGATCAAACCTACTACCATACGCATTGTTTTGCATCTTGCCGTGACTCATAAGTGGCCAATTCGTCAGTTGGACGTCAACAATGCTTTCCTTCATGGCACACTCCGTGAAAATGTCTATATGGTCCAACCACCTGGTTTTGTTGACTCCAATCATCCATCTCATGTGTGTAAATTGAGGAAAGCCCTCTATGGCCTCAAACAGGCTCCCAGGGCATGGTACAAGGAATTACACTCATTTCTGCTCTCCCATGGCTTTGTCAATGCCATCTCTGATGCCTCACTCTTTCTCTTGAATAAAGGGACTGCTGTAATTTATTTTTTGGTTTATGTTGATGATCTTCTTATTACAGGAAACGATTCCTCACTTATAGCAAAGTTCATTCACCTGTTGGCAACTCGGTTCTCCGTCAAGGACCTGGGCTCCTTACATTACTTTCTTGGTGTTGAAGTCCTTCCCACAGCCACTGGCCTATTTCTCTCTCAGCACAAGTACATTCATGATCTTCTTGTCAATGCCAAGATGGATGGTGCAAAGGCTGTCAGTACGCCTCTCTCCACCACTCACTCACTCATGCTCCATGATGGCTCCTCCCCAACGGATCCCACTCCCTACCGTCGTCTTGTTGGTGGACTTCAATATCTCAGTCTTACACGCCCTGACATCTCCTTCACAGTCAATAAGCTCTCTCAATTCATGCATTCTCCTTCCGAGACTCACTGGCAGGCACTCAAGCGTCTTCTCCGCTACCTGAAGGGTACCATTTCCTTTGGCCTTCATCTTTGTCGTCGCCCCTCTCATCGTCTCTATGCCTTTTCCGATGCTGACTGGGCTGGTGATCGTGATGATCGCAAATCTACGACTGGCTATGTTGTCTATCTTGGTGGCAATCTCATCTCTTGGAGCTCCCGAAAGCAGCGGTCTGTCTCTCGCTCCTCTACCGAAGCCGAATATCGGGCCATTGCTGCCACCACTGCTGAACTCATATGGATTCAGTCCTTACTGCGTGAACTTGGCATTTCTCTCCCCACAACACCGGCTGTTTCTTGTGATAACATTGGAGCCATGTTCTACTGTGCTAATCCGGTTCTCCATTCCCGTATGAAGCATATCGATATTGATTTTCAGTTTGTACGGGATCGTGTCACTCGTGGTCTTCTTCAAGTCTCTCATGTCTCCACTACTGATCAGCTTGCAGACGCTCTAACCAAATCCTTGCCACGTCCACGTTTCCATCTCCTTCGTTCCAAGATCGGTGTCTCCGATGGTGCCACCGTCTTGCGGGGGCGTGTTAAGGAATCTGCTCCATCAACTGCTGCTCCACCAACTCCATCAACTGCTGCTCCACCAACTGCCGAATCTGCTCCATCAACTGCTGCTCCACTAACTGCACAATTGGAATACAACCTGGACAGCAGACCTCATGTGCTCTGATGTGTTGCAGCATGGGCACGTGGCTGCAATATTCCTGACAGCAGCATGGGCAGCAAGCATGTGTCTTTAGTTTAATATTCCTGACAGCAGCATGGGAGCAAGCATGTGTCTTTAGTTTATTACATGTGTGTCTGTGTAAGATGTATATAAAACATCTGACTATTATTACAATGGGTAATACAGAAAACATATCATTTGTATACAGACTACAGATCCCAGATTACATTGGGTAATGGGGCCTTATGTCAAGCGAGTTATATGCAGGTAATGATATTCTTTTTTTTTTTTCTTTTTACCCTCCAGATAATGTAGAAACTAGTACCAACTACCAATTAATTTACTTTTGTGCCCATGTAACTTTTGGGATATTCATATTGGAATCAAACATGTCTTGGAGGTCCAGATTTATCGAGATATTCATAGTACATTCCCCTTATTTTGATTGTAATTTGTTTATTGATATTGTATATCAACATCAAGAACATGATTGACCGAAAATCGGCTCTGTTTTGGTACATGTCTTGTAACACTAGGCCGCTGCAGGTGGTTTATGCTAACGTTCTTACATTAATTTCAAGATGTTTTCTGACCTAATCTGTCTATATTCTATATACTCTTGCTGTCTTGCAGTCGGTGACTCCTCATTTTTCTTGGGGCGGTGAAGTATTTTGGGCCGGTCGGCATCGAAAGTCAGGTATCGGTTGTGCGGCTCGGTTCAACACTGAAAAGATGGTAAGCTAGCTTGGGTTTCATCTTACGTCACATGTTTGAAGGAAAATGATTTATCGTTCTGGCCATTATGCATGGTTCGTACATTATCATTATATTTTATTATTATTAACGTATTTTACTGAGAAAGGACAGAAAAGAAAGAGAAAGAGAAAACAAGTTGTTGGCCTTAGAATAGAGAATCAACTGACTACTAACACAGACAGAAAAATCAGAACATTACTTACTCCGCCAACAAGGAATAACAATCTTTAGGGAAAACACAGATTATCTCTGTAAGCACACCAGATACAAGAGTATCATCTTAATAGTCTCAAAAAAAGTTCAACGTCTTTGTACCCTAACAACCTTTTCTAGTCGGGTTGATTTTATTGGGTAACACAGATTCCTCCGTAACCAAATGTGATGCTCATGTCTTGCCTGTAGGTTGCCACAGGGCAGGTTGCTAGCACTGGAATGCTTGCATTGAGATATGTTCAGAAAGTATCTGACAAGGTAGAAGAGTTGTTTTGTTTAGAACTTCAGGTTATGTCTTATGACTCTATATGTCTATTATTGTTTTCCCTACTTTGGAAATTGTGGCCTGAACAAGAATACTAATGTATTTATGCAGGTTTCACTAGCGTCAGACCTCATGTACAACCACATGTCAAGAGATGTCACAGCAAGTGTTGGCTATGATTACGTCTTCAGACAGGTAGATTCTGCCATCAGAAATGTCCTAGGTTCTTCTAAAATTTTGTTATGAAGGAATATACACTATTTTACCAGTTCATGATGAACAAAGTGTGTTCATCAAAAGAAAACTTTGACAAGTTACAGTAAAGTTCATCAGACACGATGGCAATAGATATCTCTTGTATTTTACTCGATAAACCACAAATCTTTATTGGGTGTGGGCTTTAGTCTCCCAGGGTTTTCGAACTAGGTGAGGAGCGCTGGCAAGAGGCGCTAATTGGGTTTCTTGCCTCTTTCCTCAACGCCAGTACGTGTGAGCGCCTTTTAACAATCCCACGCAAATATCACATGAACCTATTTGCTTATTCAGAATCCAAGAAATAATATGTTACTGCCATTAAGAACAGAAGAAAAAGAAATCAATTAAATACTATTTATGCTTCTTGTTTCAGAGTCGTGTTAGAGGGAAGATTGGTTCCAAGGGCTGCACGGCTGCTTATCTTGAAGAGAGATTAATACGGGTCTTAAGTTTATTCTTTCTGCGGAGGTGAGAAATCAGCTGCTTTGAATTGTACAATAATTTCAAGCCGGATGAGATATATGACCAATGGCATCAGGCATCAGCTATGCTTTAGATATATTTGTTATATGATGGTTTCCAATTCATATTTGTCCAGCATTAACAGCATGTTACCAAAATTTCCGTTTGCAGATCCATCACAAGAAGAAAGACTACAAATTGGGATGTGGGATGACACTAGGAGAATTGCTTCACAGACGACGCAAAAGGAAAGGGCTGGCTGTGGTATGAAATTTTTGTAATTATTTCTAGCACCACTTTTGTGCCGCCTGTTGTGGGCCTTTTTGCCTCTATGTAATCATATAATTATTTCTTACTAGATTACTGATTATTATTATTTAATACAAAACCATGCATGGCTAATTGAATACTAGTTACTGCTGTGACTTTTATCAAATAGTTTTAACAGTATACAATATCAGTTGATCAATTGATAATGTTTTAAAATGGGGTTGCAATGTCGCATGCTGGATGCTTGAGTGTGGTCGTAGAACAGAAGGGCCCAACCCAAATTTTGAAATAAGACCTCGTCTAAGGGCTCAGTGAGTCACGTACAGTTGTACGCCCCTTGCATAAGAATTTGGAGTAGATTTGACATGGGATTGGAGTTAGAAGTGTACTGTTATGGTAATGCTATCCACATATTTATTTTTATTTATTTAATTTAATTTTTTTTATGTTTTCGGCCGTCAAATTGAATAATAATTGTTACTCTAGGATCATGCGATATGATTTAGAGTAAGTCTAATAGAGTGACGATAAGACTTCGTGCATTGTGTTTCATGTCGGAAAAATAAATTGAAAGTATTGACCTCTCATGGTCTCCTTTTAACATCGAATTCATCGATTCCATTGATCTCCCTCTCTCAGTTCTAAGTGAGTCGAGTATGTATATGTACAAATTCATTATCTTGCGATAATTTTGTTTTAATGTAGTTCTTAACCATTGTTGCAATAACTCCTTAAGAGCAAGTTCACCTCTAAAAAAATGCGTGAGCACCTAGTCTATTTTATCCACTAAATGAATAGTGATAGACTTCAATGAACAATAATAGACCAAATGCATCCCTATCCCTAACAAAAAATAACCTAGTCAATTTTATTAAAATATTATTATTTTTATTATAAAATAATAAATAAATATTTTTTTTTAATTTCTAACTTTATAAAAAACTATATTAATTTTTGATATTTTTATTTATTTTTTTATTAAGTTTTTTGATTGAAAAATCTGGACCATTGATTTGAAAATCGAACAGTGCTCATTGTGCCATGTCATTAGCCATTAATTTTAAATTTCAAATTTTTTGACCGTTGGAAATCCAATGATCTAGAACGAGCCTGTGGCCTCTTCGTCTGAACCCTAAGTGGGCTTGCGCATGCGGACCCCATGCCTTGTTTTATTTTATTTTATTTTTTTGGTCGGGGACGCGCCCCCACTCGAGCGTGTATCACACGCGCCTAGCACAAATTTTTTTTTTCAGTGGCCTTTGACATCAGGCTGACACAAACGTAACGTCAAATGGCCCAACTGTTAGGTCTGTCGATTCTGGGCTGGTCTCTTGGCTTGGAATAGGTGCCAGCCTATTAGGCTGGGGTGATGTGATTTAGCTGGAGGCCAGCCTGTACTGGGTGCTGGGTGCCAGGCAATCCACTCTCTGTGGACTTGCCCTAAGAAAATAAGGGGAGGGAGGGGCGCTCTCGCTTGGTATTCCTGATTACCTACCTATAGGGGCGAGGGCTAAATTTTATTTAGAAATTTGAGGGCATCAAAGCAAACTTGTATATATTGCCTAGGAGTTGAGAGAGGCGAGAGAGAGGACAGGAGGGAGAGGGAGGAGGGAGAGAGAGAGAGAGATGAGGAGGGGGAATAACAGGAATACCAAGACAAAGAAAGCGGCAGCAGAGAAGGATGAAGTTGAAGAGATGCTGCAGGCGGCACAGGACGATTTGCTTCTCAAGCTGTCAGCCGACTCTCACATGTCCCACCGCCGTGTTTCTCTGGACGACGATCCCGATATCGACCGTCGCTTTCATGCCCTCAAACTCAAAACTACCAGTGGAGTTGCTGCTGCTGATGCTTCCGCCTTCAATTCCAAATCTAATCGGACCAATTCCATTCAAGTGGACGAGGAAATAAAGGCAGTCCTTGGCGACGACCTCTCCGCCAGATTCGCCGCTCTCAAGTCTTCATTGCCCACGGCCACGGCCACGGCCACTCGCTCCTCCTCCTCTGCCACCACCGCCACGTCATCTTACTACTACGATGACTTGGATGATGAGGAGGATGAAGTTGAAAAGTTGATGCGCTGGGCCAAGGACGCCGCACGCCTCGACCCTTCTCCACCTTCCGATTCCGATGACGGTCGGGACAAGTCTGAATCTGACGACTCCGACGACGACAACAAGAGAAAGGGGAATAGAATAGGGTCCGATTGTAAATAAATGAAATTTTGTGTTGGTCGATTTGAACTGATACATACAAATTTATGAATAAATGAAACATTGTTGGTTGGAAATGAAACATACAAATGAAACATTAGTGCATGATGTATTTTAAACTGTAACTTGCCAAAGACACGGAAAAACTCAACTTGACTGCCAAATAATGATAAATAACAATGACAAAAATGTTCTTCTTCCTTCACTAGTCTGCCTATTACATTTATGTTTACAGCGAGGAGGACGATTGTCAAGCAGCTCTATCAAACAAATAAATCCTTCTTCCAAATGGCTCCAGATAACCAACCGAGCCAGCCATGGGGCACCAATCCCCCTTGAGGTTGAATCACTCTCTCTCATAATCTAGTTCCATATCAACAAACAAAAACAAAACCAACAACATAGATTTTCAACTCTTCCGCGTCAGGCAACTATAATGTTATTAAAACAATAAGACAGGAGAACCAGTAATGAGATTAACGGAACTCATCATGGTACCCATAGTCCTCTTCCTCGTCGTCATTGAAAATAGCGCTGTAAAATACATATGGGTTCTCTATCATCTCTCCCAGCGTTAGTCGCCCGTCTTTATCCGTATCAGCCTGCAATTCACAAATTTGTCACTTAAAGGCAGCACAACGACGGCACATATACTAGAATACATCATCAACCGTTCCTACCATTCTTGCTTCCTCCTATGCCACACCCAAATTTGGAACAACTTTTTACTTTATTTTATTTTCCGGGGGGTATAGAGAGGTACGAAGGGAACTACATCGTTACTATCAAACTTCATTTGATGTCTTCAGTGACAGAAGAATGACAAGATTGCAAACTAATGTCTACTTGTTAATCAGCTGATAATTCCTCCATCTTATAAGGTAGATAGCACGATGGCAATAAGAGAAGAACTGCCCGTAACTTTAGAATCCAAATACCAACATATAGAGATCACGCCCCGTCTATAAACTTAAGCAATTTTATAATCTGATCTCCAAATTGCCTCTGAGTGCAAGATAAATCAACAGACTTTGACACTTGAAGATGCTCTGAAAGAATATAGAAGGTGATTCATCTCTTAACACTTCAGTTACGTATAAATTCACAAACCTTAATTTATTGTTTTGAAATGATTTAACTCATCTTATTAGGCAAGGAAAGGAACCAGGAAGCCCTCGCTACATAGTGAGAGCAGACTAATTACCACATAAAAAGTGCACCTAAATCAATGCTCACATGAACCATACAAGCATATCTAAACAACCCGAAAAGCACAAATGATAGATCCATCTAAACTAGGAAAGAAAATACTTCCCACTGTAAAAATAAATACCTGTGATATAATGTAATCTGCTTGTTGTTTTGCATAGTAATGTTCTGATGGATGTATCTTTCCAATAATAGGAAGTATCTCCTCATCTGACAAATAACTGCGGATGTGCAAGGCGGAAACAAGTAAAATAAACATGAAAAGGGAAACCCTCAGAATAGTTACACATAAATAAAATCAGCTTAAAAGTACCCGTCACCATCTTGGTCAAGCTGAGCGAACAAATTTCTAGCTGGGGACTCCATCGAATCATCAGACTGATGTGTGGAATTGTGATTTTCTTCATCATAGTTCCTCACCAAATCAAAGAGGCCATGGAAGAATTCTTTGAAGTTAATCTTTTCATCTTTGTCGGTGTCCCTTTCCCTAAGGAGGCAAAGGAGCATTCAGACGATTAGAAAGGCTAAGCAACCATGTTAGAATGACATTACGCAATGACAAATAAGATGATGTGCAAGGGTTAATGAGAAAATACAAATACTACAAAAAGAGTTGGTAAAAAAGGAACCACCCATCTAACTGGTCAGTGCCTGGTGGTGCCTATGTCAGTAGATGTTTCTTTTTCTCTTTTGTTCTAATATCAGTATGTTATCGGTCCATGAGAAACCCAAAATTTTGAAAGTGGAAGTTGAAATTTTTTTTTATCATGGTGCCTACATCTGACCTACAAACTGATATCCTACAAATAGATATTGCTCATATGGATACGGAAAACTAGAATGGAAATTAGTATCACCTTACTTCCTCCTTGCACAACCACTTAAGTAGCTTTGGGTTTTTGCTGTCAGCTGGGTGTAGAAAGCTAGAAAAGGATAAAGACAAAAAACACCGACATCAAGTTAAATAAGGTATGTGAAAGGATACTATGTAAAAGGAAGTTGAGAGACAGGTAGAAGCTCACTCATTGAACTCGGTTATATTAAGAAGACCATCTCCATTTGCATCTGATGCATTAAAATGTTCCTCTTTCCACCAACCCATATCATAGCCAAAGGAACTGTTATCTGGTAGATGGAACATGATAAACCAGATCAGTAGCAACAAGAAAGTGACAACATACAAATTATCTAGTTGAAGATGGCCTAAATAACAAATGACCACCCTGTTTCAACTTTCACCAGATACAACTTTCTTCTCACCCGTTGTCGCCGTTGCTAGGAGCAACAGTCCAACATATTGCAGAATGGCACACTCATTTTAGTTTAATTTAAGAGATAGTTCTGGCGGAAACCAAAATGTACGAATTCCCCACAGCATAATCAATAGCCATAGATTGAATTTTCACTTTTCAGCAGTTACTAAAGCACGTAGATAGATCATATAGATACATTCATACAAGGAACAAGAACACATGAATTTGCAAAGATGGAATGACGTAAGTAACCTGCATTCTGAGCCCAACTCGGGGGCTGATACTCGGCAAAGGAAACAAAGCCGTCACGATTCTTGTCGTGAAGCTCCATATCCCTCTGAGTCCGATGCAAGACTTCCCTCTGGGCCTGGTTCAAGTTCCACTGAGTCAACTCGTGCTCGGTGACGAATCCATCAGCCGGGTCGACATCAACCGTAGGAAACAACAAGAGCAACCTGCTGGTGACGTTGAACCTCTCGTCGTCGTTCAAGTAATCCTCAGCGTCCATGAAGTCTTCCCACTCGGGCTGAGATTCGGCGGCGGGGGCGGAGTGGTGGGAGGCGTTGAAGGCATGATCGAAGTGCTGCTGCTCCCACTTTCGGTCCTCGCGGCGGCGCTCAATGTCGGCAACGAGAGGGTCGAAGGGGATGGGGTTGTGGTGGTGGAGGGGAGGAGAGAAGGTGAAGTTGGAGCGGAGCTTGAGGCGGCGGTGGCGGTGGTTGCCGGGTTTCTTGGGGGAGTGGGAAATGAGCAAGAGGACAAGCACTGCAATTGCTATGTATATGATTACTGAGACGGACGGCCTCACCATTGGAACTCTCAAATCTTCAACTCAACTCAACGCAAGATTTAGTCTTTTCTTTTTTCTGCTCTCTCTTCCTAGATTTGGAATTTGGAAATTTGGAAAATAGAAAAGAAAGAAAGGAAATTTAGAAGAGAAGAGAGAGAGAGAGAGAGAGACAGTGTGCGTGTGTTGGTTGACTAACTAGCGTATGGACTAGATTAGGAGAAGAATCTGGAGAGAATACAAGAGAAATGGAGAAGAGGAGGAAAAGACTGATTCACTTTATTATTCAAATGATGAATGAAGTTGAAGTCCTGAATGATGGGGGTTTCAGTTTCAGGTTTGATTTGAGACTTTGAGAGTATGAAAATATGAATTGAGGAAGGAAGTGTCGTTCGAGAGAGCCGGGAACTGGTGGATCTGCTCTGCCTCAGTTGCCACCCAACCCAGACTTCACACTTTATAGTTGTACAATTAAAGTTCCCATCTCGCTGTTTTAATGATAATTAGCTTGAGTTTAGTTTAAGTTATTGTTAACTAGTATTAAATAATTATAAAAAGTATTTTTGAGAAACTATCTTAAGAAAGCCCCTTTGTAAATTTTGCACAGGAAAGATCCCGTGGACGGTTGTGGTCTAAGGTTGGCGTAGAGGCTGTATATTTTTTTGAAAGAATAATATTATTTACGTAAAAAGAAGAAAATGAGCTTTAACTTCATAATAAATTAGTAATAATGTGAATATCATTAGACCGTAAGAACAAGTGGCAAGATTTAACATCATAAAATAATCAAACATGTCAACAAACAATATCATAGATTCATTAGGTGAAAAAACTTGAGTAAATGTGAGATTTTACTAAATCGGAAAAACCTACAGAACAAAGCCTGTTAGTTTTTTCTAGTGTTCCTGGTCGATGAAGCCCAAGCCCAAACCAGACAGATAATACATGAGCAAAATAGTAACTTTGAAAAAGTGGCCTCAAGCCCCGATCCAATTCCAAGTTCCAACCCAGAAGAATTCCGTTTGGGATCTGGGATCATTATGATTTTTTATTTTCTTTAAACAAACTTACCAATAATGAGAGTGGTCGGATCTAACGGAAACCACGAGAAGTCTAATCGACGCCGTTTGGTTGCAGCGAAAGAAGAGAAGGGAAGAGCGAAGAGCTAAGGGAAGGAGGGATGCTGAAATTCTTGAAGGGAGTGGTGGGCGGATCGGGGACTGGACCCAAAGATCTGCCCTACAACATCGGCGAACCTTATCCCTCTGCTTGGGGCTCTTGGACTCACTTCCGAGGCACCTCCAAGGTCTGCTTCTCTCACTCCTCTCTCTCTCTCTCTCTCTCTCTCTCTCTATATATATATATATGTATGTATATATGTGCAAATTTCATGATTCCAACGGTGGATGTGGACGATCATGACTGGATCTGAGGGAGGGTGTTTGTTTATTTGGGACGAAGGAATTCGAATGAAATCGTTTGTTTTTTTTTTTTCTAATTGTTTGTTGTAAACTGTTCAGGACGATGGTACTCCGGTGTCCATATTCTCTATATCTGGAAGTAGTGCTCAGGATGGCCATTTGGCCGCTGCTCGCAATGGCGTCAAGCGTCTCCGCACTGTAAATTTTGCTTTCGTTTTGCTCTTCAAAATTTCGTATGCAAAATTGCAAACGCAGCAATTATTCATTTCATTTTGCCGCTTTGCTTATTTTCTTTCAGGTCAGACACCCAAACATCTTATCATTTCTTCATAGTACTGAGGCTGAAACTGTGGATGCTTCTTCTGCCATCAAGCAGACTATCTATATCGTTACCGAGCCTGTTATGCCACTCTCTGAAAAGATTAAGGAGCTCAATTTACAAGGTATCCAAAGGTATTTCCATACATTAATCTATCTGCTCTTCTTCTCGTCTTCTCGTCTTCTTGTTCAATTTGTTTCACTACGAAAATCTTTTGATTTCTTTACATTATCGCACATATGAATCATATACGTGGACACTGAATTTGTCACTAGAATTCACTTCATTTTTTCTCCTTGATGTTAGGGATGAGTATTTCGCATGTGGACTGAACCAGATAGCTAAGGCTGTCAGTTTCTTGAATAATGATTGTAAACTTGTAAGTTTTCGTAATTGGTATTACTAGTATTTTGCATGTGGACTGCACCATATAGCTAATTCTCATATATGATTTTCAGTTATAGTAATACTGTTTGACTAGCTTTTGGATACTACAGGTTCATGCCAACGTTTGCTTGGCCAGTGTTGTTGTAACTCAAACTTTGGACTGGAAGTTACATGCTTTTGATGTGCTATCTGAGTTTGATGGCAGCAATGAGTCTTCTGCCGGACAAATGCTGGTAAGCATGTCTTCCGTTGTGATTCATCATTGTAAATCCTTATCCCTCTTAATTCAACTTATGTCCTTGTTACATTATATTGAATTCTTTGTTTGTTTGCTTCTTTATATGTTGTTTAAAGGTTTCCTCGCTTTGCCTAAACGGGAGGGCTTACTTTTTAAAACTTAGTTTAATTATTTTTTCTTGTTTGAATGGCAATGGATGAAAATGGTGCTTGTTTCCACTAAGATAATTTCTTGTGGATATTTGTGTTAAAAAGTTCTTAGGAATAGTAAGAAGTTGCGATATGTTTCTCACTAGTTCTTATCTATCTTTCTTCAGCAATTCGCCTGGCTTGTTGGACCACAGTACAAACCCACGGAGTTGCTGAAGTCTGATTGGGCTGCAATCAGAAAGTCTCCACCATGGGCTATTGATTCTTGGGGCTTGGGTAAGTCTGCTGTTATCAGTTTCTCAGAACAAGATTATTGGTTTGTTATTCCACTTCGTCTATTGATGCTGAACTTTATTGATTCTTTTGTGGGGGTCTAGAAATGATTATTTGCCCCTGTTGGAAGCTTCATCCTTGTTTAGTATTATGGTACAGATTGAGTTGTTTCGGGTTGTTTAGATGGAAAGGATCAGGAGTTTTTTTATTCCGGAAGGTGGAAGGAAGTGGATTGTCGTAGGGTAGTATTAAATTTTGGCTCCTTCTATTTTCTTTGGTATTTATTGAATTTTGATATATTTCATCTTGTTGTCTGAAGGCTGATATATGTTTAGTCAGTTAGAGTTTGAAGGCTTTTTGTTGTCTGATTTGCTGATGTTGTACTGCTAATTTGTCGTGTATTGGCTTTGATTATATTTTCAGTGAATGCTGGTTAGTTTATATTAATATAGTTAACATATTTATAATGAAAATATGTTGAATCATGTGATGTTTTGTTGCTGAACTGCTAGTTAAATATGCTAATCTTAAGAATCTAAATTCTTTATTTAAAATTTAAACTGATAGGCTGTCTTATATACGAGCTCTTTTCCGGTCTGAAGTTAAGCAAAACAGAGGAACTGCGCAACACGGCTTCTATTCCAAAGGTGAGTAGTCTTCTACTGTCAGCATGAGTCAGTGATGACCGTATTCATTTTAGGATCAACTAAATTTTACCCCCTAAGGTTTGGCGGTGTTTTTCAAAATGGGCCATGGGGTTTGAATTTTGGCAATTTACACTGAAGTTTTAAAATGACATCAATGTAAACCTTCCGTCAAGAGTTTTCCATTAAATTGGTGATGTGGCAATTTTGGGACCCATTTTTATGCTGACATGGGGAAGAAATATAGTAAAAGATTATTTCGAAAGCACAAAAAAGGGTATGCAGTTCCCACATGATCAATTTATCACCATTTGTAAGTAAATTACTAAAACCGAAATGTTGTGACCCATTTTGAAAACAACCCCAAACCTTAGGGGGTAAAATGTAGTTGATCTTTTTAATTTCTCATGGCCTTAATCTTTTTGACGATTCGTTTTCATTTGCATCTCTCTATTGTCTTGTTTCAGTCTCTGCTTCCAGATTATCAGCGGCTCTTGAGTTCCACGCCTTCTCGTAGGTTGAATACATCGAAGCTTATAGAAAATAGTGGTGATCTTTCTTTCTTAACTCGAATTAATTTCTTTTAATGTTGTTGGGAGTTTATAGTCTTGAGTATGGCAGTCTGCTTCACAGTTTGAGGATTGACTAGCATTTGATACATATAGCTCCAATTGGTTTTGGGTTATCATCTATGGAATTCTAGTTGCCCTTTGTTCCCCTAGGAGGATTAAAGTTGTATGCATGTGGAGATTGTACTAAATATTTATGAAAATATGATCTTTGCTCCTTCTGTTGTTTATACCTTGGTGGTTTAACAATTTTATGTGTCATAGTATTTTTGTTTGCCTATATTTCAATAACTGTTGCAACAAATGGATTGGCAGAATATTTCCAAAATAAGCTAGTGGATACAATACATTTCATGGAAATCCTAAATCTGAAAGATAGTGTTGAGAAGGATACCTTCTTCCGCAAGCTTCCAAATTTAGTGGAGCAGCTACCTCGCCAAATTGTGCTGAAAAAGGTGTGCTTTCAGAATTATTATGTGATTTCTCTAGTAAGAAACATATAACAAACCTTTTTATTATCAAATTATAATCCACTATTTTGTAATTCATGTTATTGTTTTAATAAATTGTTATCGTTTCTTCTAAAAAAAAATAAAAAATCAAATTATAATCCTACCATCTGGTTTCTACAGTTGCTTCCTTTATTGGCTTCTGCCCTTGAATTTGGTTCAGCTGCTGCTCCTGCTTTGACAGCTTTGTTGAAAATGGGTTCCTGGCTTTCAACCGAAGAATTCAGTGTGAAGGTCATACTGTTTCAGTACTCTGCATTGACCTTATGTGTCATGAATGTTGTTTACTTAAATTACTCTTGAATGTGGAAGTTTTGTTTTTCCTTTTTTAGTTGATTTTATTTTTATGGTTGTAATCATCTGACTTGGGTATACATTTAGGTGCTGCCAACAATTGTGAAACTGTTTGCTTCCAATGACCGAGCTATTCGAGTTGGACTTTTGCAACATATCGATCAGTTTGGAGAATCATTATCAGCACAAATTGTTGATGAGCAAGTATGCAGTCGATGATAGTTGGATTTTGTTTTGAAACCTGGTAGATTTAGATTGATTCATTTCTACTGTGTGGGTTCTAAGTTTGCATGTGATGCTCAGGTTTACCCCCACGTTGCTACGGGGTTCACTGACACATCTGCTTTTCTCCGGGAACTGACTTTGAAGTCGATGCTTGTTCTAGCTCCTAAGGTTGGTGCCCCTAATTTTATGGTTGTATGATTCTTGTTTTGTATAGTTTATATTCTCACAAGCCACTGTTAATGTGATTTGAATCTTGAAACACGACGCTTATTAGAATTCGTGTTAGCCACTTGTTAC